TGCCTGCACTGGCTGGGTCCTCTACCACACAGGAGACTTAACTGAAGCTCCACAGTCTTGGCTTCAACTTGGTCCAGTTCCAGCTGTTGCAGCCATTTGGATAGAAGCTCTCTCCATCTCTCTATATAACTGCCATCCAAATAAATAAATAAATTTTTCTTTAAAACATGGTATTCTGGGCTGGTGTGGTAACCTAGTGACTAAAGTCCTCGCCCTTGAATGCGCTGGGATCCCAAATGGGCACAGGTTCTAATCCCGGCAGCTCCACTTCCCATCCAGCTCCCTGCTTGTGGCCTGGGAAAACAGTGGAGGACAGTCCAGGCCTTGGGACCCTGCACCCGCGTGGGAGACCCAGAGGAGGCTCTTGGTTCCTGGCTTCAAATCGACTCTGCTCTGGCTGTTGTGGCCGCTTAGGGAGTGAATCATCAGACGGAAGATCTTCCTCTCTGTCTCTTCTCCTCTCTGAATATCTGCCTTTCCAATAAAAAAAAAAATCTTTAAAAAAATGGCATTCAGAAGACAAAAGTTTGGAATTTAAAGGAGTCGGATAGGGAAAGGGCACTGGGCTGTCCAGTGCCTCTGCTTAAGTGAGTGAACCATCTGCCTGTCCTCACCTCCCACCCCCGCCATGAGGCACTGTGGGACAGGCTCCCCTACCTCCCACCCCACAGAACAACTGTGCTCTGGACACCCAGACAGGTGCCCAGTTGCCCCTCACCAACCAAGGCATCCTAAACACTGTCGATGGAATTTGCTCTATTTAGTCTGTTGTTGCTGAAACTAAACTCTTCTGGGATCGCCTCAGGGCACAAGTAACAAACACACTGAGAAGCTAAACAAAACCAAAGCAAAACCCAAACACCCAAACTGTGTGCTTTGGCCAGAAACATTAGTGAAGCCAGATACTCTCCGACTTAACCCCATCTGCTGGTCCCTGCAGCCTCAGCTTGCCAGCAGCAGGCTCCTTGGAGTACAGGGGGGCAGGTGGTAGCAATGTGGCCCGGGAGCTGCAGGGGAGGGGACCGGGACCTGAGCCACCAGCTGAGCCCCGCTGCCCAGCACGTGTCCAGTTGTCCAAAGACCCACGGGAAAGGCTCTGAAGCGGGCCACTGTGCAGATTCTGTGTGGAAGCCACCAGCTGCTCAGTCAAGCAGCTCCATGAACCACGAGGAAAGGAAACAGCGCCTGCAGCAGCTGAACCTGGCTGCCCTTTGATGCTGCCCTGGTGGTCAGCAGCCTGCCTGCCTGTTGCCACGGGGCAGCTGGGTCCACAGCCACGTGCTGCTGGCTGGGTTGCCTCCTGGAGCCGGCAACAGAGTAAACACAGAGGAGCAGGCTCCTCCCAGTCCCCTCCGAACCGGCAGCGTCTTTTCCTTGGGGTACAGCCTCCTCCTGGCCCTTGTCTTGGCCTGTCTTTATTCCTCAAGGGTGTCCAAAACAGACCTTGTCAATGTTCCTTGCTCTGCCCGAGGACCCTGCCTGCCTGCTGTGCACTGACCCAGAAGTCTCTGCCATCTTGGGGTGATGCCCTGGAATCCCTTCTGAGTAGCAGGTCAGATACCCATCCAAGATACACCTGCTGTCTCCCCACACCCAGTGCACTCTGCCTCTCTCCTTGTGGATGGTGGCTGTGAGGCCAGGTGCCACTTCCTGCTGTGTCACCAGCACTGGTCACCCAGGGAATGCCTGACAAAGGCTGCCATCCCGCATGGCCCTACAGTTCCTCCTTCCTCTGCAGCTGTTCTAGAAAGCCTGCCCAGCACCCTCTGTACCTGTTCCTGGCATCTTGGCCCTGGGTGCCCCATGTGCCCATTCTTCTGCCTCTCTGGCTACCTTTTGACCTGCCATGATTTTCATTATAAAACCTCTGGGGAAAGCAAGCAACCTGGGGACAGGGCCTGGAGATGCCCAGCAGACAAAGGGGGTGCTGTGGGCACACTCGCTGCCAGTCCCATTATAGCCGTCCAAATTCCAGTGGGGCTCAGGGGAGCTACACCTGCAGGCCCACCGCTACTTGCTGGAAGACACAGGCTACCAAGGGCAAGGATGGCGCTGGCCAGGGGTCACAACAGCAAAAGCTGTAGGGGAGAACATGTGTGCCAATTGTGCTCTGGTCCTCTGAGAGTGCTTTCAGCTGCCCCTTCCCTCCTGGCACCAACCCTAGGCCAGGGGTAACTCCAGAGCAGCTGAGGAGCCTGGGCAGACAAGCATGCATCTTAGCTTGCAGAACTGTAAGGGACTGGCTCGCAACAAGGGAAAAAGGAGGGGCAGGCACTGGGCAGTGGCAGCGACCTCACCATTAGGCTCACAGCCTCATGCTTCCGTTCCAAGGCCCAGGAAGCGGCATCTCCTCTGCAGATAAAACCGTGCTGGAGGACTTCAGGCATGGCTGTCCTGTCTTAGTTGATGTGGCCCAGAGGTGCTCTGGCTGTGGCCAGAGCACGGAGCGGATGGGATGCTGGTGCCACAGGCAGCGGTTTCATCTGCTATGCCACAGCCCATGAGCTGTCTGCATGCAATGCTGGCATTGTTCATGTGGTAACAGCCCTTGCCTTTGGCTTGGTCCAGCCTCAGCCACTGTGGCCATCTGGGAAGTAGTCAGGGGAAAAAAGGGCCTTTTCTCTGTTTCTCCCCCTTTCCTTTGTAACTCTGACGTTCAAAGTAAACAAGTATCATTTGAGAAAGAAGAAATGAACCTGGTGTTTTTCAGGAAGAATGAAACTCCATGAAATCTTGTATTTATGAGGAGCTAAAAATTCAGCTAGTAAAAGGCATGAAAAGGAACTTTCTGGAAGAAGAGCTTTACTCAGAATCTGCCAAAATTCAGAGACACGAATTTGTTCCAAGGTGCTGTTTCCCAGGAGCCCTCCTCAGTGACACAAGTACCCAGGGACAGACCGTGTGATGAGTCAACCACAAACCATAATGGTGCAGCACCAGTTGGCCACACGCCAGGGAAGTGTGAAAGTGGTCATGTCAAGAAAAACAAATGAATAAAAAGCTCAGCAGTCAGCTGCTATCTGGCTTGGGAAGAGGCAAGCAACTGCCTGCTGAGATCTTAACAAGCTACACAGCCCTTAATCGGAGAGGACCCAGAGGGTGAGCTCCCCACTCCAGAATCTCCCTGCTTTAAAGGGCAGAGCCTGCGGTGCAGGGAGAGGGAGGGGCAGGCTCACTGTCCTGTCCCCTTCCAAGCCCAGCCAGGAAGACTGCGTCCCAGGCTCCCACAGAGCAGTCACTGCAGCTAGGCCCGGGAAGGGTGACCAGGAAGTGCCAGGAGGGGACAGCAGTTACAAAGTCCAGAAGGAAATAGTCATGAGGGAAGTGGAGCAGGTGTGGGGCTCCAGCTCCAGTGGGGAGGATCAGAGGGCACCCTACTGCCCCGGGCCAGGCTCTGGTGGTGACACGGAAACCCTCACGGGTCACTGCTCACCTGCCTTCAAAGCTGCCTTCACAGGCATTTTACTGCGTTTTATCTTGACAGCCACCCTGTGGGAAAAGCCGAGGCTGGTATTAACTGTGCGTTGTAGCTCATCATTATTCCCATTACCCCACTTCACAGATGAGGAGAGGGTTGGAGGGGGTCACACCCTGTCCATGTGACCCTGGCCAAGGATGGCAGCAGCTTTGGGATCTCAACATCAGCATGTCTGCATATTGGACTCTTCCCAACCCTACAGAGATGCTAGCAGCAGAACCAATCAAGACTCCAACACCAGCCCCTGAGAGCTGGCTACCCTGCTTCCCACTGCTCCCTGCTCCTCACCTGGAACTTCAGCTCAAGATGGCCCTGGGCCCTGCCACCCACACAGCAAATCTGCATGCAGTTCCTGGCTCCCCTCCCCTCCCCACTGCATGCACTTCCTGGCTCCTCTCCGCTCCCCTCTCCACTGCATGCAGTTCCTGGCTCTTGACTTCCCTCCCCTCCACCATTAGCCCAGCTCCAGCCTTCTTGACCATTGGGGGAGTGAACTACTGGATGAAAAATTTCTGTTTCCCTCTCTTGGTCACTGTCTTTCAAATAAAAACTATATCTTAAAATAATTTGCTAAGGGCTTTTAAAAACCATTTGCTTATTTGCAAGGTTGAGTGACACAGGGGAGACAGAAATCTTGCATCGGCTCCTTCATTTCCCAAATCCCCCAACAACCCAGGCTGCTCTAGACTCAATCAGAGACCCCCTCGTCGCTGGTATGGATGTTTCTACCACCTTGACAAGTTGAACTGAAAGAGGAGTAGCTGGGGCTCAAAGCAGACTCCCACATGAGACCAGAGGTGGGAAGGCTGCTTCCTAAGAAGTGTCCTGTGGGGGTTCACTCACAGGTCACACAACATTATCACCTAAAAGCCTGTCATTGGGCCCAGCGTGGTAGCCTAGTGGCTAAAGTCCTCGTCTTGCACATGCAGGGATCCCATATGGACTCCAGTTCTTTTTTTTTTTTTAAGATTTATTTTTATTATTTTTTTATTGGAAAGGCAGATATACAGAGAGGAGACAGAGAGGAAGATCTTCCATCTGATGATTCACTCCCCAAGTGAGCGCAAAGGCCGATCCAAAGCCAGGAGCCTCTTCCGGGTCTCCCACGCAGGTGCAGGGTCCCAAAGCCTTGGGCCGTCCTTAACTGCTTTCCCGGGCCACCGGCAGGGAGCTGGAAGGGAAGCGGGGCTGCTGGGATAGAACCAGCGCCCATATGGGATCCCGGGCGTGCAAGGTGAGAACTTAACCACTTGTGCCACCGCGCTGGGCCCTCGACTCCAGTTCTAATCCCAGCAACCCCACTTCCCATCCAGCTCCCTGCTTGTGCCCTGGGAAAGCAGTCAAGGATGGTCCAAAGCCTTGGGACTCAGTACCCACATGGGAGACCTGGAAGAGGCACCTGGCTTCAGACTAGCCTAGCTTCAGCCACTGTAGCCATTTGGGGAGTAAACCAGCAGATAGAAGATGCTCCTCCCTGTCTCTCTGTGTTTCTGACTTTCCATTAAAAAGAAACAAATCTTCTTTTAATAAGGAATGCTTCACAAATGTGTGTGTCATCCTTGCGCAGGTACCATGTTAGTCTTCTCTGTATCGGTCCAATTTTAGTGTATGCACTGCCAAAGCACATACGAAAAATAAAAAGAAAAAAAGCGAGCACAAAAATAAACGTTAAAAAAGCCAATTAGCGGGCGAGGCGCCGTGGCCTAGCAGCTAAAGTCTCACCTTGAAAGCGCCAGGATCCCATATGGGCGCCGGTTCTAATCCCGGCAGCCCTGCTTCCCATCCAGCTCCCTGCTGTGGCCTGGGAAAGCAGTCGAGGGCCTTGGGACCCTGCACCCGCATGGGAGACCTGGAGGAAGTTCCTGGCTCCTGGCTTTGGATCGGCGCAGCACCGGCAGTTGCAGTCACTTGAGGAATGAATCATCGCAGGGAAGATCTTCCTCTCTGTCTCTCCTCCTCTCTGTATATCTGACTTTGTAGTAAAAATAAATAAATATTAAAAAAAAATTAGCTTGCCATGGGCTTACTGAAGTCCTGCCTGGGGTCCCCTCGCCAGGATGCCCCCACCCCCGTGAAGGGGCTTTGCAGCACAAGCTCCCCAGAAGTCACAGGTCCAGGTGGGGGGCTCGGCCGCCTCCTCAGACCCACTGAACAGCGGAGCTGTCCCTGGGGCGCAGGGGCCGGGCATCAGGGCTCCAAGCGGTGCCCAGGGCCGCAGCCGGCCTAGGGGGCAGGAGGACCCGACCCCGAGGTCCAGCAGCACCTGCTCCAGCAGCAGCGCGGCAATCAGCCAGGAGCGCCACGGACAGAAGAAGCAGACACCACCTCGCAGACGCCCCACCAGGGCGTCCGACTGCGCAGGCGCCGCCAGGGCCAGCCGGCAGGAAGTTCGCCCGCGCCCCGAGGAGGCCCCGACGGCGCAGGCGTGAGGGGGAGCCCGCGACTGCGCAGGCGCCCCGAGGCGGCCCCGGCTGCGGCCGACGACCCCTGGTTGCGCAGGCGCAGTTCCCTCGCCGAGATGGCGGCGTTGCTGCTGCTCCGCGCCTTCCGGCTCGGCCCGGGCCCGGGCCCTGGATGCCCATGGGCCCCGAGCTGGACCCCGAGCTGGGCCTGCAGCCCGGCCCTGTCCGCCCGAGCCGTGAGGAGGCGGCCATACGTGACCCTCAGGCCTGCAGGGGGCCGTACCGGGGCTGGAGGCGGCGCCCTACAGGTAACCCCATGGGGCGCTTGCACCCGGGAAGCGGCCGGCCTTCTTCCCACCCCCGTGTGGGTTGTTGGTATTTTTTTTTTTTTTAATTTTTATTGGAAAGTTAGATATACAGAGAGGAGGAGAGACAGAGAGGAACATATTGCGTCCAGTGGTTCACTCCCCACGCGGCCACAGCGACCGGAGCTGAGCTGATCCGAAGCCAGGAGCCCAAAGCCTCCTCCAGGTCTCCCACATGGGTGAAAGGTCCCAAAGCTTTGGGCCGTCCTCCACTGCTATCCCATGCCACAAGCAGGGAGCTGGATGGGAAGCAGGGCTGCCGGGATTAGAACCGGCGCCCATATGGGATCCTGGCGCGTTCAAGGCAAGGACTTTTAAGTGCTATGCTATCATGCCGGGGCCCAGTTGTTATTTTCTACCTGTCTCCCTGCCTTGGATACATCCCGATGAGGGCTGGAGCAGTTGATCACTCTGATGGCGGTCATGGTTCCCAAGCCCTGGTGACCCACAGCAAGGCGATCTGTGGGAAGCATTCCCCGTGTCCAGCTCCACCTGCAAGCCCTGGAGCCTGGGAGCCTCGTCCTGGTCGCCTGCCCGGGTGGTGGACCCTGGGCACCTGCTCCCTGGTGGACACGTTGTGCATGGCTGACTCCGGGCACCTGCTGCCTGCCTGGTGGAACCCAGCAGCCTTGACTAACACTTCGTGTCTCCCAGCCCAGCCCCGGCTTCCTTACATTTTAGGTTGCAGTATGTTGTGTTCATAATTTGTAAGGGGAAATTCTCCTTTAGTTTGCCCGTGTGCTTATTATGTGGCAAGAAGGACAGTGGTGGGCAATTCAGTGGTAAAACCTGCACAGCTAAATTTTGTTATTTGCTTTTTAGGGTTTTATTAATTTATTTAATTTAAAAGATTTATTTATTTTTATTGCAAAGTCAGATACATACAGAGAGGAAGGAGAGAGACAGAGGATGATTCACTCCCCAGGTGACTGCAGCTGCCAGTGCTTTTCTGGTCACTGCTGACCCACGAGGACTTGTGTGGAAGGAGGTAGCAGATCTCGCGAGTGCAAACAGGAGGTTGCAACAGCGAGGATGACTGCACACTCGACTGTTGGTTTTCTGTGAGGGGAAGGTTCCTTTGGAACTATGTCCATCCAGAAGAGAGGCCCTGAGGACGCTGCCTCCCCTGGGCGGGGGGGCCCTGCTATAAACAGTTGCTGTCTGACGTTGGGAGGGCAGAGGGGCCTGAGTCTTTTCTATTGGGAGCAGGTCTGCACCTTGTGCCCTGAAAGAGCCTCAGGTGTTATCTGCTGCCTTCCAGGGTGCATGTTAGCTGCAAGCTGGCACGAAGAGGGGCTTTGGACTTGAACCCAGATGCTCCTCTTGGAGCCCCAGGATATTTTCTTACCTGCTGTGCCAAATGCGTCCCCGTGGGTATCATGGTGTTAGCGTGACCCTCAGTATTCCGTGTTTGCTTTCTGCAGAGGTTGCAGTTTCGGCCGCTGAGCCCTACCTTTGATGGAATGAGTGGATGGTTACTGCAACGGCATCTTCTCCGGGACCCAGTGGGACTCTGGCGTCTCTTAGGTAGGTGTGTCCTGACGCAGAGCCTTAAGAATTGAGCCGTGGCTGGGGGCTCTTTCCTCTGTGTACAGAGAAAACCTGTGCTCTCCCACCAGCGACTGGCTTGCTGCGCCTGGCTGTGAAACGTTGGCCCATGCGTGTGTGTGTGTGTTTGTGTGTGTGGGGAGCATTGTGTCCGCCTTCCCTGAGGTGGGGACAGCCACGTTATTGCTGCCACCTTTTGCGTAGAGGCTGTTCCTTCGCATAAGTTCACTTTATTTGTTTTAAAGGTAGAAAAAAGTATTCTCAAAGTCTGGTGGTCTTCCTAAACCAGGAGTGTCATTGGATGTTCAGATACCCCAGTCCTTTAGCCTGTTGTCTGACCTGTGGTCAGTTTCGTAGCTGCATCAGGATGACAGGGAGGTGTGCCTCCTTATCTCGGCTTGTCAGTCTCGTGCTTGCTGATTCTCAGATGTTCCCTGCCATGACTGAGGTCCTGGCACTGCAGACCTGCTCAAGTCTGTCTGTGTGTTGATTGCAGGTGCTGTTCACTTTTTTAACACCTCACGGAGGAAGCGGAAGAACAAAGATGATGACAAATCTGGGGGGAAGACTCCTGAAGATGAAGGTACAGCACCTGCTCTGTGCTCTGAGCTTTTCTATCTCCACTGCTCCTGAAATAGCCAGCTCTGGGCCAGGCCGAAGCCAGCAGCTCGTCACTCGCTCTGGGAGCAGATTAGCATGAAACCCGTTTTCATAGTGGAGGAGCCAGCACACTGCAGACCAGTGGGTGCCAATGCTTTCTCGCTGTCTGTCTTGGTGTTTTGTTGATGCCCAGCGCTGTGGCTTTCTCGCTGTCCCTCCTGGCCCGTCGTCCATGCCCAGTGCTGTGGCTTTCTCGCTGTCCCTCCTGGCCTATCGTTGATGCGTGGTGTGTGCCAGCAATGTCCAGCAAGTGCTGTGGCTGCAGGTTGGCTGGCAGAGCAGGACGCTGGGCTGCTCCCGTGTGTCCTGTAGGTGGCTAGGGGTGGTATTGATCTTATGTGTCTTCCATTTGGGGCTGTGTTGCAGTTGCTTCAAGAACATAGGGTACAGTTCGTGTCTGTTAAATTTGTTATTAGAGGACAATATTTATTTATTTTACAAGAGACTCAAACCTCGATTTCCCCTTCTTTGGTCTGTGGGGAGCCGCACAGCCCGGGAGCTCACTGTCTGAGCTGTTCCCACACAGCCTCCCCGTGGACAAGCCTGTGAGTACGAGCGCATTAGTGTGTCTCCTGAAGGAGCAGGGCTGGGTGTGACTTCGGTTTGCAGTCAGGGTGCTAGCCACTCCAATAAATAGGTACAAACTTCTTTGTTTTTAATTCAAGAGGCAGAGAGACAAATACAGGCAGAGAGCTTTTACCACCCCAAGTGCCTGCAGTGGCCAGTGGGCCAAGCTGATACTGCAAACTGGGGCCCCAGTCACATCTTCCGCACAGGTAGGAATGACTCCCAGGGAGCCAGGAATCCATCCCGGGCGTCAATGTGGATGTGGATGTAAGCTGGGGTCCTGAGTGTCCTAGCAACAAGCTCTTTAGTCTTTATTAATGTATTTTCATGTGAAAAGAACATTTTTCCAATCTTTTTTTAATGTAAAAGGCAGAGAAAAGCCTTCTGTCTACCAGTTCACTCCCCAAGTCCTGTGACGGAGGAAGGGCTGAGTCACGCTGATCCGGGAGCTCCATTCAAGGCTGGCACGCAGACAGCAGGGGCTCAGGTGCCTGCCAGGGTCCATGTGGGCAGATGGCCTGATGGGAAGTGGGAGAGGGTGCAGGTGGCACAAGTAATGATTTGCCTGTGGCACCAAGTGGCACCAAGCCCCAGGTACATGCTACTAACACGTGAAATAGCTTGGATAAGCATGAAGAGAATTCAGCTGAGGGAAAAAAGCAGTCCTTATGCCAGTCTGCACCCCGACTTCCCACCTTGGGGGAGGAAATTATGCAACAAAACTTGCCACTAGCCCCGTGAGCTGTTGTCTGCTAGTCCTGTCCACTAGGCCTGTGGGCTGCTGTCCACTAGCCCCGTGAGCTGCTGTCCACTAGGCTGTGGGCTGCTGTCCACTAGCCCTGTGGGCTGCTGTCCACTAGTTCCGTGGGCTGCTGCCCAGTGGCTGGAGTTAGCTTCAGGAGGCAGGTGGAGACAAGTGATTTTACAGCCTTCAGAAATACATGCGGTGTTGGGGCCATTGCTGAGACATGGTAGGCTAAGCCTCTGCCTGTGGCACCACATCCCATATGGGTGCTGTTTGTATCCTGGCTGCTTCCCATCCAGTCCAACTCCCTGACAGTGCACCTGGGAAGGCAGTGAAGGATGGCTCAAGACCTTGAAGCACTGAATCCAGGTGGGAGACCCAGAGGAAGCTCCTGGCTTTGGTTCTGCCTCTGTTTCTCCTTCTCTCTGTAGCTATAATGAGGTGTATGGGGGAGCCCGTCCCTGGCACGCCCTGGTCCCTGTGGCATCGATGGGGCAGGGCAGAGGGTCGGGGTGCCATTGGCCTCTGGAGTGCTTGTGTGTTGCTTTCCATTCAGATCCTGGGGTTGGGCTCAGTTCCCTTTCCAGTTCCTCAGATGTGATTTTTATTGCCAGTCTTGTAAGTTCTTTCCTTACTATCCCCTGCTCTCCAGTTCAGTATGGCTCTTAATATCTTACCATTACCTGCTGAGTCGGTCCCAATTTAAGAAAAAATATTGAAAGAATTAGTTGTAGACAAGGAAAGATAGGGAGAGAGGGAGGAAGGGCTGTATAGAGGTCTTCCATCCACTCGTTCGCTAGCAAATGGCTGCAGTGGCTACGGGCCTCTCCTGCTGTGCCCAGTGACGTGATATCAGTGAGCTAAGTGTGGTGGTCCCTTCCACTCGTGTGACTGTGCCCCAGTGATATGATATCAGTGAGCTAAGTGTGGCGGTCCTTCCACCCATGTGACTGTGCCCCAGTGATGTGATATCAGTGAGCTAAGTGTGGTGGTCCCTTCCACTCGTGTGACTGTGCCCAGTGACATGATATCAGTGAGCTAAGTGTGGCGGTCCTTCCACCCGTGTGACTGTGCCCAGTGATGTGATATCAGTGAGCTAAGTGTTGGTGGTCCCTTCCACTCGTGTGACTGTGCCCCAGTGATGTGATATCGGCGAGCCGAGTGTGGCGGTCCTTCCACCCGTATAACTGTTGGCTTTTTGCTTCGTCGCCAAAGGCAGAATACTGCAGGGGCTGGGCAATGCTGATTGCATTAGTTTCCTCAAGAAGGGATGGGGCCTGGCAGCCGAACGGAGCTGGTGAAACCGCTGCTTGGGATGCCCTCTGCCTGTCCTGAGGTGCCTGGGCTCGAGTGCTCCTTCCACAGTGAGTGGAGTGATTGGCTCAGGTCCGTGGGAGACATGGGGAGAGCTCTGGGTTCCTGTCTTCACCTGGCCCAGCCCTGGCTGTTTCTGGCACTTGGGGACTATATCAGTGCATGGAAACTCCAGCAAGTAAGCGTGTGCGTCACTGGCTTGAGCTCTGCAGTGCCCAGACTCACTGTGCTGTGCCTGCTTTCAGAGGAGAGGAGGCGGAAGGAGCGAGAGGACCAGATGTACCGGGAACGCCTGCGCACACTGTTTGTCATCGCTGTCGTCATGAGCCTGCTGAATTCGCTCAGCACCAGCGGTGGCAACATCTCCTGGAGCGACTTTGTCAATGAGATGCTAGCCAAGGGCGAGGTGCAGCGCGTGCAGGTGGTCCCTGAGAGTGACGTGGTGGAAGTGTACCTGCACCCGGGAGCTGTGGTGTTCGGGAGACCCGTGAGTTTCACTGCGTTTGAAAGGCAGACGCGGATTTTTCCATTCACTCTTCAAATTCACATCCAGCAGCGAGACTGAGCCAGGAGCTCACAACCCATCTGGGTATTGCACATGGCTATGGGGGCCAAGTACCTGGGCCGTCTCCCACTGCTTTCCCCGTACAGAAATGGAGCAGCCTGAGTTTGGAGTATCAGTGTGGGATACCAGCACCACAGCGAGTGGTTTAACTCACTGTACCACACAAGATTATCTCAAGGACTGTGAATGTGTCAAATTTTCTTTGTAAGTTTTTTTTCTTGAAAGATTTATTTATTTATTTGTTTGTTTATTGGAAAATCAGAATTAAAGAGGAGAGACGGAGGGATCTTTCATCCTCTGGTTCACTCCCCAAGAGGCTGCAATGGCTGGAGCTGTGCCGATCTGAAGCCAGGAGCTCTTCCAGGTCTCCCACACAGACGCAGGATCCCAAGGCTTTGGGCCGTCCTCAACTGCTTTCCCAGGCCTCAAGCAGGGACCTGGGTGGGAATTGGAGTAACTGGGACACGAACTGGTGCCCAAATGGGATCCCGGTGCACACAAGGCGAGGATTTAGCCACTAGGCTACTGCACTGCCCCCCTTTTAGATAATGAATTCATTTTATTTTTGGTGATGCATGCCCGTGTGGACCACTGATTAAGATGGGAAGGGTCAAGGAATGCAAGAAAATGTGTGGGACAATTGCCTCCAATTGCCTTTTGTCCTCCTGCATCTGGGGAAAGTGGGTAGAGAAGGGGAGATGGCTGCTCCCAGCAGCCCAGTCACATCAGTATCCTGGATGGGGGATGGCCACCCGATGTCATCCCAGTGTCCCTGATGTGGAGCAGGTTGCTAGGGTACTGCTCAGGTAGTTTAGATAGTTCTGAAATGCTGGTGAGCCAGCATTTGGAGCACTGGTGCCTAGCTTAGCCTGACCAACCCCACTAACCAGCTTGCACTTGTGTTGGCGGGTGCCACTGCCTGTCCAGCCAGTCCTGTGCCCAGTCCTGGTTCTCATGTTCACCAGTGGAAACTACAGCCCATCAGGGGGTGTCCACAACCTCCACACAAGGCCCACTCCCAGCCCTGGATCTTGTACTTTCCCGGTGGTTCTGCAGCCTAGCCTGACAGGGCTTGCCCCCAGTCCCAGCACTTGTCAGTTCATGCTGTTGCAAAGCCCAACCAGCCTGCACTTACTCTGGCTCACCCATACCCTGGTAGATATGGTCGCTTAGCCCAGCCTGGCTGTCCCTCTAAATCAGCTCACACGCAGGCCAATGGGCTCTATAGCCCTGTCCAGCCTGGTGTGTGCCCCTAAATCAGCTCACACGCAGGCCAGCGGGCTCTATAGCCCTGTCCAGCCTGGTGTGTGCCCCTAAATCAGCTCACACACACAGGCCAGTGGGCTCTGTAGCCCTGTCCAGCCTGGTCTGTCCCCTGTCCCAGTTCTCACACTCACCAGTGGAAGCAGTGGCCCAGCAATGGAGCCCTGCAGCTCCCCTACTCAGCTTGCCCTCCATCCTGGGTCTTACGTGTGCTGCTGGCTGCTACATCCCAGTCTGGTATGGCTCGCTTTACCTTGGCATTCACCAGTGAGTGCTGCAACCTGGCTCTCTTCCCAGCAAGCCCCCAGTTCCAGCTCATACTTGTGGGTGCTGCAGCCTTGTCCAGCCTGGACTGCCCCATTCCTGGCTGGTGTTGTGGCCCAACATGGCCTGTTCTGCACCCCATCCTGGTTCCCGCACATGCCAGTGTGCTATGATTGGGACTGGTCCTGCCTGGCACCGCCCCCCCCCCCCCAGAGCCAAACTACATATCTGCCAAGCAAAGCAGCCGTGCCCAGCCTGACCAACATCCAAGCTCTGACTCATGTGCTCGCCAGCAAGAACAATGGCCCGCCAAGGGAGTTTCCTGAGTTCCCCCACCAGGCCCACTCCCAGACCCAGATCTCATATGTGCCAGTGGGTATCAGGCCCTTACCTGGCACAGTGTGATCCCCACTTCTTGGCCTTTGTGAGTGCTGGTGGATGTTGTGGCCCAGCCTGCCCCACACCCAATTCTTGGGCTGCGTGTGGGTGCTGCAGTCTGAACCAGCCTGGCCGATTCCCAACCCCCGGTGAGTGTTGGTGAGTTTCATGGTCATGCCCAGCTCAGTCCACCACCATCCTCAACCCTTGAGCAAACTTGCTTGCTGGCATGGCCTTCCCATGGGGTGAGCCCATGATCCCCCCTAGAATCTGCTCCCAGACTGAGTTCTCTCGTGTGCTGGTTAGTGTAATGGCCCGACCTAACATGGTCCACACCCTGCACTGACACTGGCGGGAACTGTGGTCAAGCCCTGCCAGGCAGGCTCCCCAGCCATGGCTTTTCTGTGCCTGGAGGTGGTGGTTGGTACCAGCAATCCCAGCTCAGGTCTCCCATGTGGGCGGGTGTGCGGGTTTGGCCCCAAAAGGTTCTCCAGTTTCCCTCTTCTAAACTACCTGGTCTCAGCCTTCTTGTTGTCCTGCTCAGTACAAGTTCCCCAGAAGTCACTCCTCACCTGCCACGTTCTCCCTCAGCAGTCCTCTGTTTCTCACATCTCCAAACTTGCTCGCTTGAGCAGTCCACAGCTCCCCATGCCCACAAGTATGCAGATCCCCAAGCCTATTCCCCTGGCACGGTGCTCTGCCAACCTGAGGCCCTGCCTGTTAACCTAGGACCCACGCACATTGGTGCGCAGGTCCCCAGACCCTGTCTGCTGGCGTGCCAGCATCTGCCCTCCACATACCTTTATCTTATTTTATTTTGTTTAAGATTTCTTTATTTTTCTAGGAAAGTCAGATATACAGAGAGGAGGAGAGACAGAGAGGAAGATCTTTCTTCCAATGGTTTTACTCCCCAAGCGGCCGCAATGGCTGGTGCTGAACCATTCTGAAGCCAGGAGCCTCTTCTGGGTCTCCCACATGGGTGCAGGGTCCTAAATCTTTGGACTGTACTCAACTGGTTTCCCAGGCCACAAGCAGGGAGCTGGATGGGAAGCAGGAGCTGCCAGGATTAGAATCAGCGCCCATATGGGATCCCAACACATTCAAGGCGAGGATTTTAACCACTATGCTATCATGCCGGGGCCCCCTACATATCTTCAAAAAAAGAAAAAGTAGGGCCTGGAGCGATGACCTAGTGGCTCAAGTCCTAGCCTTGAATGCACCAGGATCCCACATGGGTGCTGGTTCTAATGCCGGCGCCCCTGCTTCCCATGCAGCTCCCTGCTTGTGGCCTGGTTGTGTTTCTCAGATCTACCCTGGGAGCGCCAGGTGTGCGGGCCGGTCTGACCGTCTCCGTCTGCTTGCAGCGGCTGGCCTTGATGTACCGAATGCAGGTTGCAAACATTGACAAGTTTGAAGAGAAGCTTCGAGCGGCTGAGGAAGAGCTGAACATCGAGGGCAAGGACAGGATCCCGGTCTCATACAAGCGCACTGGGTTCTTTGGGAAGTATGTTGGTGGCCTGTGCTGGCCCTTGACCCCAGCCCGTTTGCCTTTGCAATGTGCGATGCGCTTGTGAGCTGCAGCTCAGGCTTGCTTTGCCTGCAGCTGGTGCGCTGTGGCCCCTGTGCCATCACTGCCTGAGACACCCTGGCATTTCTTTTCTCTCTGACGCTGGGCGTCAGGGGAACCTGGAACTCAGTCAGGTGTCCCATGAGGGCAGAGACCCAGTCCTTTCAGCCCTTGCTGTGGTTCGGGGTGTGCTCTGGGGGCCAGAGCTGGGAGTCCTGGCTCTTAAGTGTGGGTGTCCTAACCAGCCCTTGAGCATGTTCTGGCTGCTGGCCACGGCAGGCAGGACAGTGGGGCGGAAGAACAGAGCAGGAGTGGCAGACAGCAGCTCCTGCCATGTCCATGTCAGAGGGCTGCTGAGCTCAGGTCGCTCCTTCTTCCAGGAGGCACCCAGGGGCCTCAAGGAACCCACAGGTGTGGAGGTGACCAGTATGATTTAGATACAGAACAGAAAACAGGAGCCAGCAGTGGCTCCAGGGCTGCGGACAGCCCGTGAGTCGGCCTAGCAGTGCTGACTGAGAGGGAGTTGTAGCGATTTGCAGCCAGACACGGAGCCCTGTGAGCAGGCCAGCCTGCATGGTGCCGTGCTGGTCACTCCTGACCAGACCCCAGGCCTCTGCCTCCGCAAGGGAGTAGTTGAACGCTGCTGGGCAAGAACTGCTCTGCTCGTGCTGGTGGTCTTGGGGGGTGGAGTGGTGAGAGCTGGACGTGTTGGACATGCTGCTGTCAGACCCAGGGCTCCCCCTGTGTGCTAGGCATGTGCTTTGTCAGCGGTCGTCTGGGCTGCGCGAAGTGTGTGGGAGTATGTTCCACTGATGACTGCGCTTTCTTTCCAGTGCCCTCTATGCCCTGGGAATGACCGCAGTGGGCCTGGCCATCCTGTGGTACGTGTTCCGCCTGGCTGGGATGACAGGAAGGGAAGGCGGATTCAGTGCTTTTGTAAGTTGTGCAGCAGCTCTCACTGAACTTGTTGTGTCTGGGTCTGTCTGGCTGTGCCTGCCGGGTCGCCTGCTGCATCTGCTGGGAGGAGCTGTGAGACCCACCTGTCGCAGGTGCAGCTGGAAGCCGCAGTTAGCTCGCTGTCTTCCGTGCTGATGGGTTGGAGGGACGGGGTGGGGGAGCAGCTCTTCCTGAAGCTTCTCCCTGACTTCCCACGTGAGTTCACAGGGTAGTGTTCTGCAGCCCACATCCATGGGGGTTGTTGTTATTATATCTAAATAGGTATTTGTTTGAAAGGCACAGTGACAGAGGAATGACAGATTTTCTATCTGCTAGTCCATCCCCAGCCGGCCGCCCGGGACAGCCAGCTGTGGACCCCGTATTTGGCCATCCCCAGGCACGCAGGGCAGCCAGGCTCTGGACCCAGCTGAAGGCCGGGAGCCGTGATGTAGTTAACAGGAATCTTAAGTTCTTGTGTTGTGGGCTACTGCCTCGAGGGGCACCTTAGTGGGGAACACGTAACACTCATGTGGGATAATGTATCCCAGGCTGTGTGTTTGTGATTTTTGTAACTAAAAGATTTTATTTTGGTTATTTTATTTGAAGTTCAGGCGTAGAGACAGATCTTCCTTCTGCTCACAACGGCCAGGAGTGGAACAGGTGAAAACGAGGCTCCTGAATCTCCATCTGGGTGCCCCTGTGGGTGGCAGGACCCAGGCACCTGGGCAGGAGGCAGATGGCATCTGTGCCTGCTGGGAGAAGCTCCATTGCAGCCATACGTGGAGTTAGATGAGACACTTCTCTGTCGTACTCATTCTCTGTGCCTTTCAAATAAATAAATCCTTACAAAGTCGTAAGTGGATCCTGTGGTGGACGTGGCTCCCCTTCCTGTGACTCCCCCCCGCCCCACGTCAGTCTGGGCCACAGAGTGAGGGGTTACCGAGCGCCCGTCCGTTGGCATGAGTGTACCTACCTGTCTAGCTCGGGGCTTTGTGGCTGTGCCAGTATTTTTAATGACGAAGCAGTATTTTATTGTGGGCTGGGCCATGTTCTATTCCACCCATATTGTATATCTTCTATTTTTGTTGTGTTTAAGTCAGACCGTGGTAAATTCCACACCTGTGGGTTTTTTGAGGCTTTGAGTGTCTTTCTGAAAGCAGGAGCTACATAAGGCTTGCACAGCTGTGAGAGCGAGTTGTGGCTGCGCTGCACCTTCGCCAAGGCACCTGGTGCTCAGAGCATCACCAGGTGCTGCTTCTGTAGTCAGAGAAAACTCCATGGCCCTGAGGGTGGAGTGAGGTTGTTCACTGCAAGTTGTGCACCTGGTTATGTGGGGATGCATCGGAAGACATACTTTACCTGGATTATGTTAGTGGCTTACGAAGGAGTCAATAGATAGCCTAATGTGAAGATCCAAGACTGGCCCATGGGTCTGACACAGGTTCAGAGGGCTGGAGAACAGGATGTAGGTCTGTGTCTTTGTGGCCGAGGACCGGAGCCTCAGGCCTGAGCCATAGGTGCCTGCCATAGGTGCCTGCCCTTGTCTTTACACGGGTGGCTGATGACCGGAGCCTCAGGCCTGATCTGTACCTGCTTGATCCCTTCTCTTCATGCACAGAATCAGCTGAAGATGGCTCGGTTCACGATTGTGGACGGGAAGGCTGGAAAAGGCGTCAGCTTCAAAGACGTGGCAGGAATGCATGAAGCCAAGCAAGAGGTCCGCGAGTTTGTGGATTATCTGAAGGTGAGGGCCAGGGCTGAGCAAGAGGAGGGCACTGCGTGGTCAGACCCTGGGCAGCTGACATTCTACTGACCCTCGGCGGCCACATGACGTCGTCAGCTTGGATCCTGGCCTGCTGGAGATGTTCTCGGTTTCAGTCCCGCACCTGATGACGGTCCTTAACTGGCTTGAGGCCAGACATCTCTGCTCCTGTGCTAGGTGTGGGGAAGCCCACTTGTGTCTGGTCTGTAGGGTTCAGGTTAGCTGGCGCCATGTTTGGCCTGGTGACCACCATCCTGCCATCTCTGTCCTAGAGCCCAGAGCGTTTCCTGCAGCTCGGTGCCAAGGTTCCAAAGGGTGCCCTGCTTCTCGGCCCCCCAGGCTGTGGGAAGACACTTTTGGCCAAGGCGGTGGCCACCGAGGCCCAGGTGCCCTTCTTGGCGATGGCTGGCCCGGAGTTCGTGGAGGTCATTGGAGGTGGGTATCATGTGAGGGAAAAGGGCTCAGTCCACCAAGGGGAGAGAAGATGGGGCCAGAGAAAACCCAAAGAGCTTGAGGTCTGGGAAGTGAAGCCTTCGTGGGGGCAGTGTGCAGCCAGGCACGTGGGGGGTGTGTCCCGGAGGGAGACTCATGGTGTCTGGGACAGCTGGAACAGGGTCTGTTCCATGGCAGGCCTTGGCGCTGCCCGCGTACGGAGCCTGTTCAAGGAAGCGCGTGCCCGAGCACCCTGCATTGTGTACATCGATGAGATTGATGCCGTGGGCAAGAAGCGCTCCACTTCCGCCTCGGGCCTCTCCAGCACTGAGGAGGAGCACACGCTCAACCAGCTGCTGGTGGAGATGGATGGTGAGTGCCCGCGGAACGGGACATGTACTGCCCAGAGCTTCCCACAGGCGTGGAGCTAACAGCAAGCGTGTCCCAGTGTCTGCGCCCCTGGGTGCTGTGCAGCAGGGGCAGTTCATGTGCGGTTTGCTGAGCTCGTTGAGACTGTTGTCATAGCAACACGATGTTTAAGATTTTATTTTTATTTTTATTGCAAAGTCAGATATGCAGAGAGGAGGAGAGACAGAGAGGAAGATCTTCTGTGCAATGATTCACTCCCCAACTGACCGCAAAGGCCGGTGCTGTGGCAGTCCGAAGCCCGAGGCCTCTTCCAGGTCTCCCATGTGGATGCAGGGTCCCAAGGCCTTGGGCCGTCCTTGACTGCTTTCCCAGGCCACAAACAGGGAGCTGGGTGGGAAGCGAAGCCACCGGCATTAGAATCTGCGCCCTTATGGGATCCCGGTGCGTTCAAGGCGAGGACTTGAGCTGCTAGGCCATGGCACCGGGCCCCTTTTTGACCTGTTTAACATGCAGTGCAGCATGTAGGCATCTGACTCCAGAACCTTTGGTTTCCCTGTGTTGCTTTTTGTAAAGGTTTCTTTATTTTGTTTGTTTGAAAGGCAGAGTTACATAGAGAGGAAAGAGATTTTTTTCCTTGAAGATTTATTTATTTATTTTTATTTGAAAGTCAGATAGAGAAAAGGAGAGACAGAGAGGAAGATCTTCCATCAACTGGTTCACTCCTGGAGTGCTGAGCCAGCTGGAGCTGAGCCAGCTGCCGCTGGAAGTTTCTTCCGGGTCTGCCATGAGCCTGCAGGGTCCTTGGGTTCAGGCCGTCCTCGCCTGCTTTCCCAGGCCATAAGCAGGGAGCTGGAAGGGAAGCAGGGCTGCCGGGATACAAACTGATACCCATATGAGATCCCAGTGCATACAAAGCAAGCGTTTTAGCCAGCAGGCTGCTACACCAGGCCCTTGTTTTTTAAGACTTAGTTATTTCCATAGAGGAAAGTAGAGACAGAGCTTTCATCTGCTGCTCCACTTCTCAAGTGGGCTGGGTCAGGCTGAATCCAGGATCTCAAACTCCATCTGGGTCTCCCCATGGGTTTAGGGGCCATCCTGCACTGCCTCCAGGCTGTCAGTAGGGAACTGGGTCTGTGCTGGCCTGGCCGCATGAACCCTGTGCCTCTTAGGGCTCTGTGAGCTCTTCAGCTTTTCCTCAGCCAGAACTTGGGTTACATCTTAGATAGCCAAGGTGATGGAGATGGTTTTCTCCTCACAGTACTTGCAGTCTAGAAGAACCATTTAGGGCCTGGCGCAGTAGCCTAGTGGCTCAAGTCCTCGCCTTGCATGTGCCAGGACAGACACCGGTTCATGTCCTGGCTGTTCCACTTCCCATCCAGCTCCCTGCTTATGCCCTGGGAAAGCAGTTGAGGACTTCCCAGAGCCTTGGGACCCTGCGCCTGCATGGGAGACCCGGAAGAAGTTCCTGGCTCCTGGCTTTGGATCGGCTTAGCTCCAGCTGTTGCAGCCACTTAGGGAGTGAACCAGAGGGTGAAAGATCTTTCTCTCCTACTCTCTCTCCAATCAAAGTGAATAAATCTTAAAAAATAAAAAAAAAGTGCATGTTTCTCTTGGTGTTTGTTGCTAACTGTTTGGGAAAGTGTATCCATTAGACCGAAAGTACTCAGCAGGTTGACTGTCCTGGCCAAGGGTGGAGTCAGTCCTTTGGCCCCCTGTGGCGGCTGCGCCAGGAGACTGCTGGCTCCCGGGCTGCACTGAGTCGCCTTGTGCCCCCCTTGGGCTCCAGGCCTCTCTGGCCCTGCTGGCTCAGCTGTGGTTTTATGATTTGTGGTGTAAAGCTGGACCAGGTCACTGGTCCTGTGAATGTGTGGAGAAGGCGAGGGACCCTTACCGACAGTGCATGCCAGGGGTCTCTGCTTTCAGTACTTGGATGTCTGAGAACAGAGACCCCCTTTGTGGGCAGACTTGAACCCCCAGGAAGTGTTTGTTAGACGCCGTTTCCCTCTGAGGGAGCCCCTCGCCCAGCCTGTGCTCCCGCCTCGAGTTGCCGACCAAGGCCTTCGGCACAGTCTGCCTGGCTCCACACAAGGCCCTTTGTGCCCAGGCCCAGCTGTTTCCTCGGGCAGGAAGGGTTCGTGGGCCTGGAGGTGGAGGCTCTGCCAGCCGTGGGAAAACTCAACAAGGAGAAAAGGCAGGCTGTGCTGGGCAGAGCAGTGTCGTTCATGTCCTGCCTGATCCGGTCCCCGGGCAGGCTGAGGCCTTTGTCCTGGACTGTCCTCTTGCACAACTTCAGCCCAGGTGTCCGTAGGACCGCGGTTCCCCTTGAGTGGTTAGAGAACCTGAAAGGGTGCCCGCATCCCGCGAGAAGGGAGACTCGGGACCCACTCTGCTGGGCGGGGGGTGCTTTGCAGTGCTGTGCGGCTTCCCCGGTGTGTGGGACATACAGTGCCACGTCGCCTGTGTTCTGTGCTGTCCAGATAGAATGGGCTGATGGCAGAGCAAGCTCCCAGCCAGCCGCCTGGCCCTGCCTGCATCACAGCAGTCGTACAGGTCTCAGTACACAGGGGGAGTGGTCCCAAACTGGGCTTGCCACACTGCAGTCAGATTGTGTCCCGTGCCCCTGTGGGTCCTGTGTGTGTGACCCGTGCCCTGTGGCTCCTGTGTGTGGCCCGTGCCCTGTGGCTCCTGTGTGTGTATGTGATCTGTGCCCTGTGGCTCCTGTGTGTGTGTGTGTCCCGTGCCCTGTGGGTCCTGTGTGTGTGTGTGACCCGTGCCCCTGTGGTTCCTGTGTGTGTGTGTGTGTGTGTGTGTGTGTCCCGTGCCCTGTGGCTCCTGTGTGTGTGTCCCGTGCCCTGTGGCTCCTGTGTGTGGCCCGTGCCCTGTAGCTCCTGTGTGTGTGTGTGTCCCGTGCCCTGTGGGTCCTGTGTGTGTGTGTGACCCGTGCCCCTGTGGTTCCTGTGTGTGTGTGTGTGTGTGTGTGTGTGTGTGTGTGTGTCCCGTGCCCTGTGGCTCCTGTGTGTGTGTATGTGTCCCGTGCCCTGTGGGTCCTGTGTGTGTGTGTGTGTGTGACCCGTGCCCCTATGGTTCCTGTGTGTGTGTGTGTCCCGTGCCCTGTGGCTCCTGTGTGTGTGTGTGTGTGTGTGTGTGTGTCCCGTGCCCTGTGGTTCCTGTGTGTGTGTATGTGATCCGTGCCCTGTGGCTCCTGTGTGTGTGTGTGTCCCGTGCCCTGTGGCTCCTGTGTGTGTGTGTGTGTGTGTGTGTGTCCCGTGCCCTGTGGTTCCTGTGTGTGTGTGTGTGTCCCGTGCCCTGTGGCTCCTGTGTGTGTGTGTGTCCCGTGCCCTGTGGCTCCTGTGTGTGTGTGTGTCCCGTGCCCTGTGGCTCCTGTGTGTGTGTATGTGATCCGTGCCCTGTGGCTCCTGTGTGTGTGTGTATGTGATCCGTGCCCTGTGGCTCCTGTGTGTGTGTGTGTCCCGTGCCCTGTGGTTCCTGTGTGTGGCTCATGTTCATGTTGAGCAACCCAGCACCAGTGTATCCTTCTGCTGTTTTCCTTTCTTTCCTTACTCCCCAAATGTCCACAGTAGCTAGGACTGGGCCAGGCTGAAGCCGGGAACCCAGAGCGAGGACATGGTCTGGGTACTCCGAAGTGGCAATGGATATTGCAAGCACCCCTTTTCCTGATCAGCACCCCCAGTGTGCACTTTTGTGTCCAAACACCGTTTGAGAGCTTACCTGTGGCCTGGACCCAGGAGACTAAGAGGTGCTGGCAGTGCCTGGCTCCGTCCGCAGCTGCAGCTCATGGGTGTGGGGTGCTGCCTGTGCTGTCATACTCTGCATGTCTGACCCCAGAGGTCCCCTGCTGAGGGAAGGACACCTGTGTTGGCATGGCCCCAACCCCACGCCTCCAGGACGGTCTAGGCTGTGACCACCTCATTTGGCTTATTTCCAAGGCACTTGTTTGTGGGAGGGGTCAGCCAGCAGCCCCTAGTACCAGGTGCTAACGTGTGGAGAAGTGGGGGGGCCCTGAGCCAGTGAAGGGGTACATGTCCTAGCCATGTCTTTCTTCTTTTTGTTTGTAAGGATGTGTTATTTTAGGGGCCCAGCACAATGGCCTAGTGGCTAAATCCTCACCTTGCAAGTACCAGTGCACACTGGTTCGCATCCCAGCTGCTCCACTCCCCACCCAGCTCCCTGCCTGTGCCCCAAGACAGCAGTCAAGGGTGGCCTAAAGCCTTAGGACCCTGCATCTACATGGGAGACCCGGAGGAAGTTCCTGGCTCCTGACTTCACATCGGTTCAACTCTGGCCACTGAGGCCATTTGGGGAGTGAACCAGCAAATGGAAGATCTTTTTCCCTGTCTCTCTCTCTCTCTCTCTCTCTTTCTCTCTCTCTTTTTAAGATTTATTTATTTTTATTGCAAAGTCAGATACACAGAGAGGAGGAGAGACAGAGAGAAAGATCTTCCGTCCGATGATTCATTCCTTAAGTGACTGCAAAGGCCAGTGCTGCACCAATCTGAAGCCAGGAGCCAGGAACTTCCTCCGTGTCACTCAGGCCCAAGTTTCCCACTGTATCAGATCATCTCTGGGTTTGTGAACAGTAATCGAGAGAGACAGAGACCCAGAGAGATCTCCAGTCCACTGTTCACTCTCCAGACGCCACAATGGTGGTGCTGGCCTGGACCAGCACAGGGGCCTCAAGTTCCACCTTTGCTGTCCTGAGCGCCTGAGCGGTCAGCAGCCTCGTAGGCATGGTAGCAGGGAGCAGGGCACTGTGAGGAGATGCCGGCCTCCCAGGCAGTGGCGACCCCTAGTGGCGGCCTGTCTGGGATCTGGAGTGGGGTGTTTCCCCCTAGAGACTCTCTGAGGGAAGTTGCGGAGGGCCAGAGCCGTGTTGCCTTGTTCTCTGTGCTGAGCTGGTCACAGCCGGTCAGCGAGGTGGGTCTGGGGGCCGTCTTTCCCCACAGGGTGCAGTGAAGGCTCTGTGGGAGTGGGCATCCTGAGTCTCTTGTGCTGTCCCCTCAGGCATGGGCACCACAGACCATGTCATCGTCCTGGCATCCACAAATCGAGCTGACATTCTGGACAATGCTCTGATGAGGCCAGGCCGGCTGGACCGACACGTCTTCATTGATCTACCCACGCTGCAGGTCAGGCCTGGAGGGCACCTGCTGGGGCAGTGGCTTGTCCTTGGAGCTTGTCTCGGCGTTTGGACTGGGCGTGGTTTTATGGCAAGGCTGGCTCCAAGGTGGGAAGGTGCTTTCTTCATGGAGCCCCGGGGGATCCCTGGGTCCCTAGCTCTCTCACGTGGAGGGGCTGGCTTGTGCTGGTGGTCTAGGACCTCTTGCCCTGGACGGTGCCCCTAGGCTGCAGGTCGGGGCAGGAGAGGCTGAGCCTGCAGTTGGTGAGTGTGGGGGAGCAGGTCTAGCCTGAGTCTGAAGCTCCTCTGCCCAACTCTGCAAGCCCAGGGCTCCCTGGGGGCTGTTGCTCTCGTGTGTGGAGCGAAGGGAACCCACACTGAGTCTGATGGTTTCATTTTCTGCTCCACTCATGCTTTTTATGCCCTAAATGGGTTTCCCCTGAGGTGCGTGTGAGGTCTCAGGCGGGTCTCCAGGAGCGCTGCAGTAGTGGGGTGCCAGCCCGACCACATGTCCTTCTACCCCATCTCTGGCAGGAGAGGCGAGAGATTTTTGAGCAGCACCTGAAGGGTCTGAAGCTGACACAGCCGAGCAGCTTCTATTCGCAGCGTCTGGCAGAGCTGACTCCGGGATTCAGCGGTGGGTTCTCTGCCTCCAGCCTTCTCTGGGGCTCTGGACATGACTCGTCTGAGTGGGAAGTCCCCGGGAGGGCGGCATGTGTGCCTGCGTCCTACTTGTGCCCCTGGTATCCCCACAAGCCTGCCTTCAGACCATGATGGATCTGGCTGCTACGTTGGCCTTGGTGTCTGTGCATCCTGCGTCCTGTGCTGCCCTGGAGACCTCCTGGCCTCCCTCACTGTGCCATGGGGCAAGTCCCTAACTAGAACCTGTGTGAAGCATTACATGTGGGAAAGTCCAGGACTCGGCTCAGTGGGGAAGCGTGCACAGACGAGAGCTGGAAGAGCATGGCCGTGGTCCGTGGTTTCTTCATTTGAAAGAGAGTGACAGGTCCTCTACCTCCTGTTTCACTCTCCACATGTCTGTAGTAGACCAGAGCTCCATCTGGGATTCCCACTCGGGGGCAGGGCCACGCACCTGGGGGCCTGGCACCTCCCAGGTGCATTAGCAGGGAGCTGGGTGGGCAGCACATCCAGGACTCACCCTGCCTGTCCAGTGGGACGTGTGCACCCCAGGCAGCAGCCCTGTAGAGTGGCATGCTAACACCCTGTCCCGCTGCCCTCTGGTCACCAGCTGCTCTCTCCTTTCTTCGCCCCATCGACCACTGTTCTTCTTGGTCTCCACCATCAGTGTGAGCCTTTTCTGCCCTTGCCCAGTCCATGGTCTGTGTTGACAGGTGCTGACATCGCCAACATCTGCAACGAGGCCGCCCTGCACGCTGCGAGGGAGGGACACACATCTGTCCACACCTCCAACTTTGAGTACGCTGTGGAGCGCGTCATTGCTGGTAGGCCACGTGCCCCCTGCCAGGGCCTGTGCCTTGGGTGCTGAGGTCAGGTGGGACCTGATGCAGGGTGCGCGTTGCGTGGCTTCAGTGAGTAGCAAGGAGTTACAGGTGAAGTGGGGCAGCATCACGTGCTTTAGCGTTGCAGGCCAAGTCTGCGTGGGAACTGTAGGCAGGACAGGCACTCACCCCAGACAGGAGCAGGCGACGCCTTCTAGACCTGAGCTGAGCCAGAAGATCCATGGTCCCGGAGTAAGCACCGAGGTCAAACCTGGAAGGCTGTGGGCCAGTGTGGTCCTGTCTACTGACTCCTGGTTGCCCCCAGTGTGGACGCCAAGGCTTGCGTCCAGGGGAAGCTTGGTGCAGCGTGTGTGCTCGGACTGTGCTCTGCCAAGGCCAGTGTCTCTCATCTTCAGAGCATGGTGGTGGATGATTCTAGAATCAAGCTGGCCCACAGGTCTGTTGTGGTTGCTTACACTGGAGCAGAGAGCCCCTTACTGCCATCTGCATAGGGAGGAATGTAAGGCAGGGACTGTCTCTGCTGAGGTTGTTCGAGAGGGAGAGATGAGAACTCTAAGGCACTGGCTGGGAGGAGGCTGCCTGCTGTCCGGCGCTCTCTGGACTGGGGGTCAGGAGCGGAGTCTGGGTAAGGGCATACTGTGCTGGCACAGGCAGGAGAGGCAGGGCTCCCAGGGATGCTGGGCCTCCTTTCAGGGACTGCCAAGAAGAGCAAGATCCTGTCCAAGGAAGAGCAGAAGGTGGTTGCATTTCACGAGTCAGGCCACGCACTGGTGGGGTGGCTGCTGGAGCACACCGAGGCCGTGATGAAGGTGAGCCCAGGGCTGCAGCAGTGCCGGCGGGAAGTCCTGTGAATGAGAGGGAAGCCGGCCGTGGTCTCCCGCCAGCAGCCAGGAGTAGGGTGTGTCCCCAGTGGGCAGTGGGAAGCCGGCCGTGGTCTCCCGCCAGCAGCCAGGAGTGAAGAGGCGTGGACTCCCTCTCAGGCAGCAGACGAAGGACTGCATTCGCCTTTGCTCGGGGATAAGTTCTGATGTTGAACAGAAGTGAGATCAGTGCACCTGTTTCTCTTTAAAGATTTTTTTTCTAAGATTTATTTATTTTTATTACAAAGTCAGATATACAGAGAGGAGGAGAGACAGAGAGGAAGATCTTCCATCCGATGATTCACTCCCCAAATGAGTGTAACGGCCAGTACTGTGCCAATCCAAAGCTGGGAACCAGGAACCTCTTCCGGGTCTCCCACATGGGTGCAGGGTCCCAAGGCTTTGGGCTGTCCTCCACTGCTTTCCCAGGCCACAGCAGGGAGCTGGATGGGAAGTAGAACTGCTGGGATTAGAACTGGCGCCCATATGGGATCCTGGCGCGTTCAAGGCGAGGACTTTAGCTGCTAGGCCACGCCGCCAGGCCCAAGATTATTTATTTGTTTATTTGGAAAGGCACATATTTTTTTAAGATTTATTTATTTTTTTATTTTATTTTATTTTTTTTTAAAGATTTATTTTTATTATTATTTTTTTTATTGGAAAGGCAGATATACAGAGAGGAGAGACAGAGAGGAAGATCTTCCGTCCGATGATTCACTCCCCAAGTGAGCGCAACGGCCGATGCTATGCCGGTCTGAAGCCAGGAGCCTCTTCCAGGTTTCCCACGCGGGTGCAGGGTCCCAAAGCCTTGGGCCGTCCTCTGCTGCTTTCCCGGGCCACAGGCAGGGAGCTGGAAGGGAAGCGGGGCTGCTGGGATAGAACCAGCACCCATATGGGATCCCGGGCGTGCAAGGCGAGGACCTCAACCTCTTGTGCCACCGCGCCGGGCCCAAGATTTATTTATTTTTATTGCAAAGTCAGATATACAGAGAGGAGGAGAGACAGAGAGGAAGATCTTCTGTGCAATGGTTTACTCCCCAAGTCGCCGCAATGGCTGGAACTGAGCTGATCTGAAGCCAGGAGCTTCTTCCAGGTCTCCACACGTGGGTACAGGGTCCCAAAGCTTTGGACTGTCCTCAACTGCTTTCCCAGGCCACAGGCAGGAAGCTGGATGGGAAGTAGGGCCGCCCGGATTAGAACCAGCACCCACATGGGATCCCGGCACGTTCAAGGTGAGGACTTTAGCTGCTATGCTATCACCCAGACTGCCGGCACCACGTGGGACAGAGCAAGGCTGAAATGGTGTCTGGAACTCCATCCAGTATCCCTGGTGCAAGGCAGGGACCCAAATGCTAACACCCAGTAGAAGACAGCTCAGGGGTCTGGGCCCTGCTACCCAAGGACAGTTGGAGGGAGCACCCAGCTCCTGCCTTGAGCCTGGCCCAGCTCTGACTGTTGCAGCCATTTGGAAGAGCGAATGAGAGGATGAGAGATTTGTGTTTGAAATAAGATTATCATCAATGATAAGATTATTGCTTGTACAAAGAATATCTGGGCCTGGTGCGATGGCCAAGCGGCTAAGCCCTAACCCTCGTACGCCAGGATCCTCTGTGAGCCCCCCGTCCACTGCCTTCCAGCTCCCTGCTAGTGGCCTGAGAAAGCAGTGGAGGACGGCCCAAAGCCTTGGCTACTTGGAAAGTGAATCAGTGAATGGAAGATCTTTCTCTGTAAATCTGCCTTTCCAGTAAAAATAGTCTTTAAGAAAATAAAAGACTTGGGCCCAGCGCGGTGGCGCAGTGGTTAAGGTCCTCGCCTTGCACGCCTGGGATCCCATATGCGCGCCGGTTCTATCCCAGCAGCCCCGCTTCCCTTCCAGCTCCCTGCCTGTGGCCCGGGAAAGCAGTCGAGGACGGCCCCAAAGCTTTGGGACCCTGCACCCATGTGGGAGATCCGGAAGAGGCTCCTGGCTTCGGATCGGCATAGCATCGGCCGTTGCACTCACTTGGGGAGTGAATCATCGGACGGAAGATCTTCCTCTCTGTCTCTCCTCTCTGTATATCCGCCTTTCTGATAAAAAATAATAAAAATAAATCTTTAAAAAAAAAGTAAAAAAAGAAAATAAAAGACTTACGGAAAAATCCATGATGAATGAAATAGGAGCATTTAAAACCCCGTGTGTTCTCAGAGCTCGCACAGTGTAAGAAGCAGCTACACACTGCTATGACTGCAGGCTCACAGCAGTGGTTGGCAGCATTTCAGTGCCAGGTCAGTTCTGGATATTACGTGATGCCTGCTGGGAGACCTCAGGACTCCAGTGGGCATGGCCGTCCTGCTGGCCTAACCCCCGGGGAGAGCGGGCCAGACCCGCCCTGCCTTGTCTCTGGACCTGTTCTGCTGGAGTGAGGCTCTGCCCCTGCACTCCTGGGCCTTCAGCGGGTCTCTGACCTGCAGCAGTGCCAGGGTCAGCACAGACTAGCCCTGGAGGTGGGCTTGTCCTTGCCAGCTTATCCCTCCTGGTTTGGTGTGGTGTAGTTGAGCACATGGTGGTGTAAACGGGTTTCCCCAGTTAGAAATGGTCTGTGCCGTATGTGCATCAGGGTTCTCAGGTTCCAGAGTGAGGCACTTGAGGCATGCTCTCTGGCTTGGGGACCCCGGAGGCAACCCTCCACGCCTTGCCCCTGCTTCCCCTTGAACACCTCTGTCTTCTGTAGGTCTCCATTGCGCCACGGACAAATGCTGCGTTGGGCTTTGCTCAGATGCTGCCCAGAGAACAGCACCTGTTTACCAGGGAGCAGCTATTCGAGCGCATGTGCATGGCCCTGGGCGGCCGAGTGTCTGAGGCCATCTCCTTCAACAAGGTGACGTCCGGTGAGGAGCCGCCCCTCCTGCTCAGCATGCGCAGGCCTGCTGTGATCTTGCGACACGAATGTGTACAGTGTAGAACTCATCGGGTTTGTTTCAGAGGATGAGCTGTGTAGATATGGAAAACTGAGATGCTTCTTCAAGTCATTTTACTTGAAGAGGTTCATTGCTGCCAAGGACGTCCTCATGATTCAAGTCCTGGCTCTGCTTCCACGGTCATCTTCCTGCCGACACACAGTTCGGGAGTCATCTGCTGCCAGCGTCGGAGACGTGAACCAGTGGGTGTGCAGTCTTTCTGCCTCCCAAATGCATAAGATACTCAAAAGATAATTTACGGAAACAGCCACATGTATCTGGAGTACTGATGCATTTAAATGTTAGGTATTGGTGATTGCTACACAAATCAATAGTCCTGAAGTGCACATCGCTGCAAGCCTTGCTTCTCTGCAGGCTGGCAGGGGAAGATGGCATCAGCCTGGCCCCAGGAGCAGGAGGGCTTGAGGTGGACTGGGGAAGATGGCATCAGCCTGGCCCCAGGGGCGGGGCTTGAGGTGGACTGGTCTACTGCATGCCCGACACTGCTGTGCACGCACAGGGAGTCCAGATAGCTGGTTTTCAAGCTGTAGAGCATTTCTTGAATGCTTTTAAGTCTTTTTTTCTTTTTTCTTTTCTTTTCTTTTTAATGTATTGGAAAGGCAGATTTACAGAGACAAAGAGAGGCAGATCTTGATCCACTGGTTCCTTCCCCAGTTGACCTCAACAGCCAAAGCTGGGCCCAGGAGCCTCGTGCTTCTTCCGGGTCTCCCATGTGGGTGCTGAGGCCCAAGGACTTGAGCCAGCCTCTCTCTACTGCTTTCCCAAGTCATAAGCAGGGAGATAGTCCAGAAGTGGAGCAGCCAGGACTCAAGCTAGTGCCCAAATGGAATGCCACAGGCAACGACCTCACATGCTATACCATGATGCCAGCCCCTCAATGAATTAGTTACTTTATTTGAAAGGCAGAGTTGCAGAGAGGGAGAGGCAGAAGCAGAGAGATCTTCTGTCCTCTGATGTGTTCCCTAAATAGTGTTTTCACCCAGGTCTCCCCTGGGGGGGCATGCTCAGGCCCTCCTCTGTTGCTTTCCCTGGTATATTAGCAGGGAGCTGGATCAGAAGTGGAGCAGCAGGCCCCTATGGGATTCTGGTGTTCCGGGCAGGTTTACCCACTACACCGCAGTGCCAGCCCCTCAGACTCCCCCAAGGGGCAGTGTCAAGTAGAAACATCACAGTGTGTGGCATAGCAGGGGATTGTGAGAGATGAAGTGGGTGTGGACTGTGGTGCCTGGCCTCTGAAGCTCTGCTTTCTTGCCCACACTCTGCAGGGGCACAGGATGACCTTAGGAAGGTCACAGGCATTGCATACTCCATGGTGAAGCAGTTCGGCATGGCGCCTGCCGTTGGGCCCATCTCCTTCCCCGAAGCACAGGAGGGCCTCGTGGGCATTGGACGGCGACCCTTCAGCCAGGGTCTGCAGGAGATGATGGATCACGTGAGTTTGCACGGGCGTCACCACCACACACCTACCCACAGGGTCGGCCCCCTGGGCTAAGAGCCCTGCTGCAGGCCTGGGGTCTCTCCGCTGTGGTCTGTCATGTAGTCTTCGATGAGGACCTAGATGGCTCCCCGTGAACTGTTGATATTGGTCTAGGAGGAATAGCGGGTGCAGGAGCCTTCAGACTGGACCAGGGCAGAGCTGGGGCCTCTATGAGGCACCTGCAGCTTGTGCTTATAGTCAGAGGGCAGCCTTGGCTGTGGCAGAGCACAGGCAGGCCTACTGGTGGGCAGCGTCTATGCTCAGCCTTCCTAGGCCGCATGGTCCCCCGTGTCCTTCCTGCAGGCTGCCATAGGTGATATGTGCATGTAGTGGTCAGACATGATCCCCTCCTTTGCAGGAAGCAAAGCTGCTGGTAGCCAAGGCCTACAGACACACTGAGAAGGTGCTACTGGACAACCTGGACAAGCTTCAGGCGGTGAGTACGGCTGCCCTGGGCAATCTCACCACCCTGCCCACATTTCCTGTGGAGTGTCAGCTGAGTGCACAGCACCACCAGCTCAGCCGGCGACAGCACACCAAGTTCATCCATTTCCTCCAGTTTTTTTTTTAAGACTTAATTATTTTTTATTGGAAAGGCAGTTACAAAGAGAAAGAGAAACAGAAAGATCTTCCATCAGCTGGTTCACTCTTCAAATGGCCACAATGGCCAGAGCTGAGCTGATGTGATCTGAAGTCAGGAGTCAAGGGCTTCCTCTGTGTCTCCCTCGTGGGTGCTGGGTCCCAAGGCTTTGAGTCATCCTCGATTGCATTCCCAGGCCACAAACAGAGCTGCATGGGAAGTAGACAGCCGGGATACGAACTGGCACCCATAACCCTTAGGCATTAACCTACTGAGTCATGACACTGGCCCCTCTTGAGTTCATTAACATTATTTCAGTCAGCCAGCGTGCACACTGCAGGCCATAGGGTGCACCTCACCAGTCAGGGTGCGCCTCACCTCACCTCACCAGTCAGTCAGTTAGGCAGCGTGCACACTGCAGGCCACAGGGTGCACCTCACCTCACCTCACCAGTCAGTCAGTCAGCCAGCGTGCACACTGCAGGCCATAGGGTGTGCCTCACCTCACCTCACCAGTCAGTCAGCATGCACACTGCAGGCCACAGGGTACACCTCACCTCACCTCACCAGTCAGGCAGCGTGCACACTGCAGGCCACGGGGTACACCTCACCTCATCAGTCAGCATGCACACTGCGGGGCATCATGGCTCACTTCATTCACATGTATTTACTTTTCCACATTCACATTACAGTCCTTGAGTCCCCTGTAGAATGTAAGTTTTCTAGAAGTGTCTGACACTGGTGCTTATGCGAGGTCCCCACAGGTACTGTGTGATGGCTTCTGGGCTGGGCAGAGGACTTGGTCAGAACAGCCCTGAGAGGCAGAGCAGGAGCTTCACTCTGTGTGCAGCTGGTGGGGGGTCTTTCCCTTCACTGTGGAGTGTGAGGCTGCGTCAGGCTCAGAGTGCTGATTCAAGAGGGGCCCTCCTGCCGAAGAACTCGGGTTGCAAGCAGCACGGCCTCAGATAGCCCGACTGCCTAACCTGGGGGCTCGCCCAGAGTGGGATGTACTCCATGCAGTGGGGAAGGGTGGGGCAGGCCACTGGCCTGGGCAGCTCATTGGCTGTCTCAATCCTCAGGAGAGAGCAGACGAGCAGTGGGCAGGAGCTGTGTTCCTTGCAGCTGAACTGCCCAAGTTCAGGGATCTCTGGCTTACAGGCATGCAGGACTTTCCCTAACAAACGGCACTATTAGGTGCATAGATGCCCTTCCTGGGTCATCCAGCTGTGGCTCAGCCACTGTCCCCACAGATACATCCTCTGTGGTGTCAGGAAGTGCAGCTGCCAGAAATAAGTCAAGATCTTGAAGGAAATTAGAGAGGATACCGAGGGAGGCTCGCAGCTGGAACCTCGGCCTCCTGGAGACAGGGGGTGATTCTTTGCCCAGTTGCCTTTCTGCCTCTGCTTCCTGGGAAAGTGCCGGATCCTCCCGTCTGAGCTAGTCCTCTCTCAGACAGGCCCTCCCACCTCACCGCCGCCTGCTGGCACACAGAGATGCTTTGTTGCCCGTTCTCAAAGACTCTTGTCTGTGTCTGCTGGGGATTCACACTGCCATGTTTGTTCCTTCTAGCTGGCAAATGCTCTTCTGGAAAAGGAAGTGATAAACTATGAGGACATTGAGGCCCTCATTGGCCCGCCACCCCATGGGCCCAAGAAGATGATCGCCCCACAGCGGTGGATTGACGCCCAGCGGGAGAAGCAAGCCTCTGGGGAGGAGGGGGGCTCCCAGCCTCCAGGGCCGGCACAGGAACCGTCCTGGCCCAGGTAGTGGGGACGGCGTGTGGTGACGCAGGAGATGAACTTGGCTTCTCTCCAACAAGGCGTGCAGCTTCTCCTGCAGGCCCCTTTTCCCTGAGGCTCTGCAGTCTCGAGTTCTCTGTGTGTGTACCTCACTTTTGAATGTTTGCTGCTGGAGTGCAGACCAGTTCTCAGTTCTCAGGATGCATGGCTGTGGGGATGGGGTTGCCCAGCAGGCAGGCTGGAGAGGGCCTGGCCCAGCTGCTGTGTCTCCCTCAGAATGCCAACAGGCTGCACAATGACAGACTCCTCCGAGCTGGCGCTGTCACTATTCCCACATGGGAATAGGGTCACAGAGCTGGGCCAGGCACCCAGCACTGTCACCTGGTGAACAGCTGCACACGAGGACCCTTTCACAGCCCCTTCCTGCCACTAAGGGGACACAGTGCTCTCTTCAGCCTGTGAATTGCTGATCAATTCCTTGGATGGGCCTCCACTCCTGTGCTGCGTCCTTGGCTCTTAGCTCTGGGTCTGCACCTCACCCCTCCAGTGGGTGACACCAAGAGCAAAGCCCCTGTGGAGCAGACACCTTAGACCATATTTGAATAAAGCAACCAGGATGCCCAGCAGTGGCCTTGACTCCTCGCGTTCCTCTGGTCTGTCCTGCTTCCTTGTCCCCTCCCTATGCTGAGATGGACGTGTGGACCTATGGATTCTGGTCACTTCTTGCAGTAGACGGCACTGTGTGGGTTGAAGGCAGGCACAGGTGCCCTTTTCAAAAATATCTGCAATAGAGCAAGTTATATTCCATCTACTGGTTCAACCCAAGGTAGTCACACATGGCCAGGGTTGACCTAGGCTGAAGTTGTCCCACAGAGGTAGCAGGGGCCCAAGCGCTTGGCTCATCTGCTGCTTTTCCCAGGCCGTTAGCACAGAACTGAATCTAAAGTGGAGCAGATGGAACATGAACCGGCACTTACAAGGGACACTGATGTTGCACATTGCAAGGGCCTACTGAGCTGCTGTGCCACATCTTGTTTTTGAAAGGCAAGGTAACAGGGCACTCTTGCATCCAGTGTTCACTCCAAATGGCTGTGCCATCTGGACAGGGCTCCAGCACCAGCTCCTAATGCTTTTTGTTTTTTAGATTTATATTTATTTTAAAGGCAGATGTACAGAGAGGAGAGACTGGTACCCCAAGCAGCCACAGCAGCTGGAGCTGAGCTGAAGCCAGGAATTTCTTCAGGTCTTCCACATGAGTGCAGGGTCCCAAGCACTTAACCATTTTCCACTGATTTCCCAGACCATAAGTAGGGAGCAAGATGGAAAGTGGAGCAGCCCAGGAGCACACTGATATGAACGTGGGATGCCACAGCTGGCAGCCAGAGGGTCAGACTGCTGGGCCTCTGCACCTGCCCCTACTGTAGTATTTATTTAAAATCAAGAGTATTTTAAGATTTTTTTAAGTCAGAGAGGAAGATCTATCCATTGATTCCCCAGGCAGCCACAACGGCCGGAGCTAGGCCAATTTGAAGCCAGAAGCCTCTTCCAGGTCTCTCACCTGGGTGTGGGGTCCCAAGGCTTTGGGCTGTCCTCAGCTGCCTTCCCAGGCTACAAGCAGGGAGCTGGATTAGAACCAGCGCCCACATCAGATCCCTGCACGTGCAAGACGAGGACTTGAGCTGCTAAGCTATTGTGCACTGGGTTCATAAGCAAGAGTATCTGAGAGCTTCTACTGCTGAAAGACAAGCTGTTACTGTCCTGGATTGAAAACTTGTGTAGACCTAGCTCTGGGAGGCGCTTGTAAGCCACCAGCTAGTGTAAGCCCAGCCGCACTCAGTTCATCTTCTACCTCCAAGGGCCTCGCCCAGGAGTGCCAGCACCGGGGCAGCCACAAGTTCTGTCCATCCACCTTGGAGCTTCTCACCCAGGAGTGCTTGGCCTAAAGGGGCGTTAATGGAGTTTTAAAGATGTATTTGAAACCCAGGTTAATAGGTCTTCCAACCACTGGTTCACTCCCCAGACAGCCACAACAGCCAGGGACTGTGGTGCTGCGGCTGGAGGCCTCCATGCCCTGCCCTTGAGTAGCCCTTTGGTGGTCCTCACAGGCCATGCCTAATGAAGGGTCTGGGAGTTGTGGCCTCCCATACCAGTCTCACCCTTAACCGCATCTGAGTCTGTGGGAGAAAGATGGTTGTGTAGTTGTTCCTTGTTCTTGGAACAGTGCAAAAGCTGAGTGTTCTGTGCATGACTCAGTGCGGAACGTTCTGTGACACACTGGGTGCAGCTAGCTCAGTTCCTAGCAGACCCTCTGACTGTAGCCAGGTGCCTAGATGAGCAGGTGGGGGTGTGGGTCAGGGCAGGTCCATGCAGACCATGAATGGGCTGCAGGTGTTTGAGGCCGGAGCAAGGTCTGAGGGGAACGTTGGAATGAAGGCCAACCCATGGTTACTGCTGAGAAACGTGACCCAGGCAGGCGTGTCTGCTGCCAGCGGAGTACTGGTCTGCTAATCCCCGAGTCCACCCGTGAAGGGGAGGGTGGCAGAAGGCCACTGGCCACGGCGGCTCTCCTGGAAGAGGGCGGAGGACTAAGGTGTGCTTTCATTTCCACCCCGCCCCCTTTACATTTTAAACATGTATTATGGTCTAAGTGCATCTTAGTTTTTGTTGTTGTTGGAAAGGCAGATTTAGAGAGAGACCACTGCTGAGACGATCTGAAGCCAGGAGCCTCTTCCCGGTCTCCCACCTGGGTGCAGGTCCCAAGGCTCTGGGCCGTCGCCACTGCTTTCCCGGGCCACAGGCAGGGAGCCTGGCACCTGCGCGAGGAGGATTCAGCGTGGACCGTGTGCGGTCAGCAAGGCTGGCCAAGGCAGGGCCGGGCTGCGGGTCCTTGTTCACGTCCTCCTCGCAGAAGCTGCTGGGCAGCACCGGGCCTGGGCCTCCCGCCGTGCCAGGAGATTCTGGCGGGGGAGGTGAGCAGCACAGCACCAGGGGCTGCCACGTCACTTCCGCACCCGCCGGGCCACCTCTGCCTTGAAAGCCTATTTCACAGGAAAGTCGGGGCTGAAGGCCTCGCCCGGCACCGGCGGGACACGCGGGGAAGCGGGTTCTAATCCGAAAACCTCTAACCCCGACTTCGCGCCGGCCCCGGGAGCCCGGGGCGGGGCGGCCTGACGTCACGTCCGGCTCTCCCGGCCTCCCATTGGCCAGACTGGCGCGGCGCTCCTGATTGGCTGCGTCTGCGACCATCCCAGCGGGCCCCGCGGCGCCGCGCCCTTTCCGCCTCTCTGCTCTCCGGTCGAGCAGGTGAGTGTGTGCGCGTCGGCACCATGGACGGCGTCCGGGCGGCTCGCGGTGGATCCGCCGCCATCGGCCGGGTGCCGAGGCCGCCATCGGCCCGGGGGGATGCCGGTGTCTGTGCGGCAGGGGCCCGGTGTGCCCGCCGCCATCGGCCCGGTGCTGAGGCCGCCCGGGCCCGGGGGGACGCAGAGCCTGGGCCGCCATGGACGGCGTCCGGGCGGCTCGCGGTGAATCCGCCGTCATCGGGCCGGAGCTGAGGCCGCCGAGGACCGGGGGGACGCCGGCGTCCAGGCCGGGCCTCTAGCCGGCCCCGAGGCCCTGCGGCTGCCCGCGGCGGCGTCCCGGCCCGGCCGCTCACTGTCCTCGCCCCCGCGGCAGCAGGCAGCAGCCATGGCGCCCAGCAGGAATGGCATGATCCTGAAGCCGCACTTCCACAAGGACTGGCAGCGGCGGGTGGCCACGTGGTTCAACCAGCCGGCGCGGAAGATCCGCAGGTGAGCGAGGGCGGCCGGGAGGAGGAGGGCGGGCGCCGAGTCGGACCTGCCCCGGAGGGGGACGGGCGCCCTGAGCAGCACGGCCCGCTGACCCCGGCGTCCCCCGCAGGCGCAAGGCCCGGCAGGCCCGAGCTCGCCGCATCGCGCCCCGGCCGGCGTCCGGGCCCATCCGGCCGATCGTGCGCTGCCCGACCGTGCGCTACCACACCAAGGTGCGGGCCGGGCGCGGCTTCAGCCTGGAGGAGCTGCGGGTGAGTGCGCGGGGGCGCGGGGCGGGGCGGGGGGCTCGGCGTGATGACCATCTCCGGAATCGCTGCAGCGCTGTGATGAAAGCGCACTTGAACCCTTTTCCATCTGACTGCCGAGCCGCTCCCCGGGGCCAGGGCAGCGCGCCGGCCACCGCGGCTCCAAGCGTGCGTGTCTGCGCAGGTGGCCGGCATCCATAAGAAGCTGGCGCGGACCATCGGCATCTCGGTAGACCCGAGGCGGCGGAACAAATCCACCGAGTCCCTGCAGGCCAACGTGCAGCGCCTCAAGGAGTACCGCTCCAAGCTCATCCTCTTCCCACGCAAGCCCTCTGCCCCGAAGAAGGGCGACAGCTCGGTGCGTGCGGGTCGGGCTGGGGGATGCTGGGGGCTGGCAGACAGGGTGGATGCAGTGTGTGTCTGCAGGGCCACATATGCCTCCAGTTTGCACTCCTGGGGGGGGGTAAGGGACCCAGGAAGTTGGCGGCGTCCCATAGGCTGGGGTGGGTGATGAGCCTTGGATGCTGAAGTGCCTTGCTCCTGTTTGATGTGCAGGCTGAAGAACTCAAATTGGCCACCCAGCTCACAGGTCCAGTGATGCCCATCCGAAACGTAAGTTGGTGCACTTTGAGATTCATGTTGTTGACTTAGTTCTGTCCTCTGGCTGTCTCCCCTAAGTGGCTGCAACAGCCTGAGCTGAGCCAATCCAAATCCGGGAGCCTCTTCTGGATCTCCCTCGTGGGTGCTGGGGTCCCAAGGTTTTGGGCTGTCCTTGTTCCCAGCCTACAGACAGGGAGCTGGAAGGCAAGAGGAACAGCCAGGACACAATCTGGTACCCGTATGGGAGCCTGGTGCAACACTTCAGCCCCCAGGCTGCTGTTGGCCAGGTCCTGGGGGTTCCTGAACTCTGGTCTCCGTGGCCACTGCTGGGCACTCGTGCATTCTCTGATTTCCTCTCTCTGCAGGTCTACAAAAAAGAGAAAGCCAGGGTCATTACCGAGGAAGAGAAGAACTTCAAAGCCTTTGCCAGTCTCCGCATGGCCCGTGCCAATGCCCGGCTGTTTGGCATCCGTGCCAAGAGGGCCAAGGAGGCAGCAGAACAGGATGTGGAGAAGAAAAAATAGGGTCTTGTTGGATTTGTCTAATAAATGCACAGTGCGGCCGGTCTGTGCTGTCTCCTGGCTTGGTGGGGGCTGGGCATCCTCCGTGGCCCGGGTGGTGGGCTTACTTGGTGACCATGGCTTGTAGCACAGCGGGGGGCGGGGTGGGATGCAATGGGAAAGAATTGGCTTTCCACAGCATGACTCTGAGCCCTAACCTCCTACTCCCGGGAATGGAAGAACCTGGCACTGTGGTTACCTCCCATGTGCCCAGCAGACACAGGACTGTACTCCAGGTTCTTGGCCCATGTTGTATAAGCAGGCCCAGAAGAGCTTGGCTTCTTCCTGGCACACATAGCTGTATGTCTGGAGGGTGAGCCAGTAGACGGGAGGTGTATTTTCCAGTAAATCTGAGAGACCCACTGATTATAAGGGATTTGTGAGCCCGCAGGAAGCCTGGACTAAAGCTCTGGTAGGCTGCAGCC